GAGAACCGATTTAAACCTATTATCGAACCGTTGAAACAAATCGTTGAAAACACTGAACGTGAAAATAAATTATTTGAAATTGACAAGGTAATGGAAAATAAACAGAAGAATAAACGTGAGTATACCAACGATGACGATGACGACGATGATGATGATAATGCTGGTGATTACAATAACGGTGATGATGGAATTTCAACACAGATTACTCCACAGCGTCCTCCATGAAGAAACAAGCAAAAAACGATCAAATATAATTCATTCCACACCGATAGAATCACAACAACAACAACAACAACAACAACAACAAGTATCTCCATTCGAACTAGAGGATGGGGAAGTTTTTGAGGAAATCGGTGACGATCCATCACTTGAAACGTCTGTCAGACAAATTTTAAATACACTTCAAGGTCGTAACAGATTGTACAGTCAGCTAGGACCGTTGGGACAAATATACGTGAATACTTTATTAATTGGAGATAAAAGAAACGAAATCGATCTTGTTTATGGCGTCTATTTCAATGAAACGGTACGATGTTAGGCAATAAAAATTTTGATATAGATTCGGATGATACTATAATCATAGATGGAGTGAGGTATAAAGGTTTATACGACAGGTTTATACGAGTTGATTTTCAAGAAGATTCCAAACGATACTATCTACACCGAGAATGATAGACAAACGTACAAACATATATTATTGTCGACAAATGCTCACAAACGTCACCATAACGCTGGAATGCCTATTAAAAGTAACAAGGGTCACAAATACAAATATATTATCGCTCCGCTCGTAGGTGCTCATAGAACCGGTAGTACGAGCATTGGTTCAGGTATAAAAAGAAAGATGAACATACCATCAGCTGCAAGATTGACAAACAATGAAATAAATTACGTTCATTTGAATGATACAAATGAGTTGGTGGATCGTCTTCAATTGCTCGATGCTTCTCGTCGAGCAGGTAACAACGCTCACGACAATGAAATATTGTCAATAATCGAAGAACTTCGCGAAGCAGGATTTATTATATAAATTGAATCGATACAATGAATATTTCAACAGTATTCATATTTATATGAGATCGATATGATATACGATGACAATGTCTGTAAACAAATTTGGTATGCAAATGAGGAAAGATAATTATGATGAAATCGAAAAGTCACAATTGTCGATCGAATCTTTACGAAATTACATACACAACAATGGACTCTATCTAAATCCGGATCACTACGATGCAAAGGAACGAAAAATCGAACATGTTGCCACACCAGAGTTCGATACTGACGCTGTAAACAAACGTTATATCGAACGTACGCTTTGAGATTTAAGAAATGAGATCGAGAAAATGTTTAAGACGCTAGGAAACGATATGATTGTCCACGCACTTCAAGGTACGAAGGAAAAGGTCTCGGAAATGGAAAAGAGTTTTAATGTGCTTAAAAACGCGGTGACAATTGAATCATTAAAAGAAATGGTGCTAGATTTGATTGAAAAATCGGTGAAGAGGATAGGTCACGAAATGATTGTAAGCGCGCTTAAAAATGTGGTGATGAATATAGCGTTGAAAACAACGATACCGGATATGATTAACAAATCAGTGCAACCGATAGAAAACGATATCACAAAGATGAAAAAAGACATTGCAAAAGTACAGAACGATACGAAAAAACTGTTACGAGATGCGAGAAAGGATACATCGAAAGTGTGAAATAATGTGGAATAACCTTCAAAAATGTAACCTTGTGTTGCGTCGCAATTGGAAATGATATATAAAGAGATCAACGAGAGATTTGGAGAGATTGTAAGCTTTGATTGTTTGATCGAAAGTTCTCCCCTCGTATGAGACAACACTTTATGTCAAATTAAAAAGAAAAAAGGAAGAGGATGAGTGTTGAGAAACGAAAACTTGTAGAAGAACTTCACGCATCCGCAAGAAGAAATTTTCCACGTCGTCGCGTCGTGGTGCACGATCGTTACGATTTATGGCAGGCTGATGTAGTCGAGATGCGTCCTTATGCGCGATTCAACAAAGACTACAACTACATTTTAACAGTAATCGATGTGTTGAGCAAGTATGCTTGGGCAATACCACTCAAAAGTAAGAGCGGAAGCGACGTAGCCTCAGCATTATCTAGAATATTTCGCGAAGACGAACGATATCCACGCAATCTGCAGACGGATCAAGGAAAGGAATTTTACAACACCACTGTGCAGAAAAAAATTGTGAAAAGGTACAACATAAATCATTATTCGACGTACTCGGTGATGAAAGCATCAGTAGTGGAACGATTTAATCGTACGCTTAAGAATAACATGTGGAAACTATTCACGTTAAACGGTTCGTATAAGTGGATCGATGAGTTACCGCGTCTATTATCAAATTACAATCGTCATAGACATCGAACTATCGGAATGCGACCGATAGACGTAACACCCGCCGTTGCAAAACGACTCTTATCGACAGTATACAGTCATGTAAAAATTGTTGCTCCAACGAAATTTAAGATAGGTGATCCAGTTCGTGTTAGTAAATTCAAGACAATTTTTGAAAAAGGTTATACACCTAATTGGTCCACTGAAATATTCTACATTGCTAAATCGCAACGTACGAATCCTATAACGTATTTATTGAATGATTATCAAGGAAAGCCGATAGCTGGTGGATTTTACGAATACGAATTACAACGAGTCTCTAATCCTGATGTTTATCTTATGGAAAAAATTCTACGCAAACGAGGAAATAAAGTATATGTGAAATGGTTAGGAATGGACAGTTCTCACAATTCTTGGATAGATAAAATAGATGTATTATAATTGATAAAATAAAAAGATACATACATTACATATCACTACAACGGTACTTTATAATGCTCCAAGGTAATTCTCACAATTCTTGGTTAGATAAAACAGATGTACTATAATTGATAAAATAAAAAGGTAAAATACATACATGCATTACATATCACTACAATGGTACTTTATAATGCCCCCAAGGTAAAGTAGCAACTGAATCGGGTATGATGTAACGCTTGTCATCGTACCGACTGAGAGCAAGCTTCAATTCTGATACTGTATAAACCTCGTGTAATTTCGATCGTATAGACGACTGACGTCTTGATTGCTATATTACATCGTTCAAACATCGCATATAATCGTCGAAAGTGATCGGTTTCGCTACTATATTTTTCTTAACACCCTTTATTCTTTTCTTATCACTACTTCCGATCACTTTCAACGCATACATCTTCGCTCTGAGTCCTATGAATTCCGTCATCATCTCACCATTATTTTCATCCTTCATTAAATCTGGTATCTTATTATTAATACGTGGAATATTATATACATTTTTCTCAGGATAATCGCTCGTGTCAAATTTCACGATATCACGCTTAATATTCTCGTACACGTTCTCACATTCCAAAAGATATATCAAACTATCGGTATCCGTGTAAAGGATCTTACACTTGTCAGGATACAACGGCATTATATATTCATAATGAAATTCATAAAGACGTATTTTAGATATTTCGAGAATGCACATACCAACGTATATCGGTTTGTTCAATTGTACCTCAAGTTTACGCAATTCTACAGCGACTAGTTCTTCAGAAAAAACGCTTCTACTATGAAAATTCGGTTTCGATATCATTACTTCCGCGCCGTATCTCCCGTCCCAACGCGTTACGAGTCGAACGTCAACATGTTCGCGTACGTTCTCCATTGTTTTCCCGAATACTGCGTTATTCATCAATTTGTAAAGATTCTTCTCGAATTCGTTATTTGCGAACATTCTAAATCTCGTATTGAGTTCTATGTATCCGCGAAGCCATGGAGATTGTGTGAATTGTAATATTCGATAAATTTTTTTCACATGTAATCCGTGTTGAATGCATTGTTGTAAATTGCGATAATGTATCACGTAGCGCTCTTTGTCGTAGAGCGTAGCCGAGTGTTTATTGTTTCGTTTTCCGGGAAGTCGCTCACGCGTTGGACAGAATGGAAGGTCAGTGTGGGCATCATGGTAATTTTGTGGATACACGAGGTCGACTTCCAAAATATATCCGATAACAGAGTCTGACGATACGGACATTACGTTGAAATGCTCAACGTTATCGACCCATTGAAATTCTCCATACGGTAAGAATTGAGACATCGCCCAACCGTACAAATTATTAACGTCGAAGTACATGAGGTAAGTTGAAGGTTTCGATGGATCGTACGATGGTGCGTATTTATTATTAGCTCGCGCATATCTATACGAACATTGACTTAAACCACCACGTATACCACGCTCCACGAACATTACCATATCGATGTCGGTGAGCAATTCAAATCGAATATCGGTATATTTCAACATAGCGTCCCACGTGTATCCCGGTAAAGTATAATAATGTGCTGGATCCAATCCATAACTCTTGATACACGTATCGCGAAAATTTTCAAAAACATCAGCCAATAAAAGTACATCTATCTTAAGATATAAATCGCTGTAATCACCGAGAGTATCAATGCAAAAGCGTTGCCAAACATTTGTCGCGTGTTGAAAATCGTCATCGGAAATGCTCTCACCAGTTAATGAGCTGTAGAAGGCCTCACGAGGAGGTAAACTAGTCTCGTTTAACTTATCAACGTTGTCGATGTATTCGTATGGAAATACTCCTTTACGTGTGAGCAAATCAAAATCCTCGGTATTAAGATTGAGAAATTCCGATCGCATGATTTTCAATTTACTTTTATCGAGATACGATACTAATTTCTCAAGACTAGTATTGAGAAATTTAAACGAATCTACAAATCGCAATTTCACACAGTCAGTTCCCCACCTGGATTTCGACGTATTTTTTACATATTTCGTAAACGATATATATTTTTCTTTCGTTATTGGTAACAAATAGACACTACCTTCGAAACTATTAGCGATATCTTTTATGATAAAATGTGCATCGTAACCTGTCAGATTATGAAAAAATATAGGAATAACACATGATTTTTTATAAATTAAATTACAATATGAATGTGCTGCACCTCTGAAACGTCCCGTTAAATGACAATGATCACGTACACGTAAATCATTCACCTCGAATGGTTTTTCACAGATATGACAATGAGTCACGTTATAAAATTTTTCCCCCTCGTCTGATGTCAATTTTAGTACAGATATATTTTCATTGCTAAAATGTTTCATCTTTACGCGATGTGCTAAATCGTATGATTCCTTAACAAACCATGATACACAATCCTCACCACGATGAGATCTGTACGTCGATAAGGTTTCATCATACGCACATCGTATGTAATATGCTACGCTGAAAACCTTATAGTGTTGATAGGTAAATCTCGAAATATTTATATCGCTGGTTTCACTCTTCTCCAGTATACATTCCAAATCAGCGTAAACTACGAAAGGAAGTCGCTCCTTCATATTATGATTGTTAAATGACAACCATTTATTATCCTCCTTCAGAAGAATAATCGCACAATCATTCGTCGAAGCACAGTCAACGATGTGAAGGGACAATTTCTCACTCGAGTAAAAATAATGCAGACATCTGTAAATAATATAAATAATATAATTACATACAACTTTTTTATCGCTACATAAAAATAAGTCATTTATATTTACCTATCGCACAAATACTTTTTATGTTTAGTCTTGTTTATTTGAGAACCTATCAATCGAGATAGATTTTTAATCCATGCGAAGTGACCAACAGTATTATTGTCACCTCGCACATCTTGCAAATATAACAGATTAACGTGTTTGTCTTTTTTATCCTTAGTGAGACGAAGAGGGACTATCGTACCATTGTTGTCTTTTTTTTCACTTATCTCTCGCTCGGTAAATATATTGACAGATATACCATTCAAAAGTTCAAATTTTGAAATTTGTTT